GACCCTTTCACAGGGGTCGCCTAAGACCATCGGAAAACACATATATAATTACATATTGTTTTTGTGATTAATCACTATGCTTTAATTATGTTCAATTTGTAACAATGAAATTGGGGGTCACCACAACATGAGGAACTGTATTAAAGGGTCGTGGCATTAGGAAGGTTGAGAAACACTGATCAATGACAATGTATGCACCTCCCATCCCCAGGAGCCTCTGATTGACATGTGTGATTTCCCAGCCGGAAGTTAGGAATCTACCCCACATCTGGGCAAATGGGGCCAAGAGAAGGGCTCAGGCAGCCTGAATGACAGAGGTTTACCATTTCTACTGGTCTTGTCACCTTTCTCAGGTCAAATCTTCTTAGTACTCAAAAGAACTGTCTATAGCTTTTTGATTCAAATCTTCTTGGGTTAAAAATGAGGGGACCTAAGGAATTCATCTTCAAAACGTTCCCTGCTTTTCATTTGGGGCAGTTTAGTGAGAATGCTGTGTCTTTCATTCATGCTTAAATATTTTCTGTGGTGTTACCGTCATCAATTCATCCAGCCATCCACTCAATGTACTTTATGGAGTCTCACTGTGTACAGGCCCTGGGTTCGCTGACAGCAATGCTCAAAGGAATTACACACATGGCCACTGCCTTCCAAGCACTCAAGTCCACTAGTCTTTTGAAGCTAGGTATCCCCTTGAAAATTTGGGGAAACGATTGACCCTCTCTGATCGTCAAAATGCCTGAGACTTAATAGTACACATTATATCTAAGTTTAAGAGAATTTATAGATCTCCCTCCAAGCCCTCATACCCCACAGAAGTCTACTCTCGCACACTCTACAGATGGACCCCAAATGGCCTCTGATAAAGGGGCAATGTTTCCTCCAATAAACCAAGCAAAGGAGAGGGTCCTGGCCCCTCTGAGGACTGGGTACAATGTCAAATCCAACACTCGGCTGGAAGCCAAGAGCATGTATCCTAATAATTCGGCTAACCTGCTCTGTGATTTTGCACAAATTCCTTCCTTCCTCTCGCTGGACCTCAGTTTCCCATCTTCCCAATCATCGGTTATTCCTATGAGCTCGAAGAGCCCTTTTAATCCTAGGATACCCAGCCTCTCAGTTTCCCATCTTCCCAATCATCGGTTATTCCTATGAGCTCGAAGAGCCCTTTTAATCCTAGGATACCCAGCCTCTCACTCCTTCCAAACATGGCCTCTTCTTCAGGTTGCCTGATGATGTCTTATCCAGCCCAGGAGAGGCCAGTAATCGCCTCCTCCTGCACCCGCTCCCCAGCCGGCCTTTCCTAAGGGTGGCAGTTGGCTCTGGAGAAAGATGAGACCTGGGCTCCAAGGTGAATCCCGCCATAAATGAGGTGGCCTTGGACAATTTCCTCCTCTGTGACAGTGGGAATAGTACTAATACTGACCTCTTAGGCTTACTGGGCCCTCACCATATCCAGAGCACTGGTCACATCCCTTCCAGATGTTACTCTCTGAATCGTCTTTTCCTCCCTCTTTCCCTTTATTTTTACAAAACTTGCAAGATCTTAGAGGGGATTCCATTGCCATACTTGTCCACACCTTGATTTTCCCTTAACTGCCCAACAGGGATGTTTACATCAGTGCACTTGGTGGAGAGAAATCAGGAGATGGATAAAATCCACCCAAGGCCTGGTGTCTGAGACCCAGGAGGGGAGCCTGGAAGCTGAAGCGGCCACTGGGCTTCCCACCCAGGAAGCAGGGCGAGCCCAGCCAGAGGGCCCTCTGTACCTTTCAACTGCGCTGGGTGGCGACACTGGAAGGAGCATTTGCTGCCAAAGGTGGTGCCCTCGAGGCAGGAGAAGGAGGCAGCATAGACGTGATGTTGGTCTGGGACGCCACAGTCCACGGGCTCACACGCCACCTGCTTGTTCCACTTGCCCTCGGTGCAGGTCACTGTGACGCTGGGTCCCGTCTGGAAGGCAGAGGTGAACACAGTGAGTGGTGGCAGAGGGCGTCCCAGATATGGGGACACACCCTTCTCCCCAGGCAACAGCTCAGAGCCTTGTCAATCACCCCATGTTTACTGAGCATCTACTATGTGGCAGCACCGTTTTAAATGCTGGAGATCCAGCAGGGAGCATATTTAGCACCCAGTCAGCCTTTCCAGGTGGAGAGGAGCTGCGGGCCCAGCACCTGCACACACCTGGCTCTTGATCAGCTCATCATCCCTCCGTATCTGGAGCACATAGCCCGTCCGGCAGCTCACAGTGCACTGGGCACCATGATAGCGGTCGCTGCTGGAGCAATTGAGAGAGGCGTTCTCCACGGCCAGCTCCGGACAGTCAGTGGCCTCACATGCGAAGTGCACACAGCTGCAGAGGGAAGAAACCAGAAGGTCAGAGGGAGCTTCCCTGCAGGACCTGGGCACTGCAGCTGCAAGATAAAGGCCCATGGCCTCCCTCTCTAAAATGTCAGGAGGCCGAGCCTAGGGAGAGGAGGAGGAGATGGAGGGGAGGAAGGAGCTGGCCTAGGTGAGGAAGACTCTGGAGGCAGTGGTCACATATGGAAACAGACAAACCAGGGTTCAAATCTTTGAGAGCTTTATAAGTTATTATGCTTCCAACCTTGCAGAGCCTCAGTTTTCCCATCTATAAAATGGGGATTATTCCAGTATAGCAAGTATTCGCTGTGTTTCTTATCTGCCAGACACCGAGTTGAATGGAAGCCTCTTTATGTCTATGGTAGTACTGACTCCCAAGGGTCGTTGTGAGAATTAGATCCCATGGTTCAGGGAAAGCACAGAGCAGAATTCCTGGCACCAAAAAGCAAATGATAGCAGTACATCTACGCTCTGTTCCCTAGAAGCTGCGTACCTTTGAGCAAGGTACATCACCTTTCTGATGTCCCTCCAGTGTATTCTCAGATTCGGCCAACCCACATGGCCATGAGACTCCACTGAGGTGTTGGACGGAGCAGCCCTTTATAACTGTACAGTGATTTATGAATTGTTGGGAAAGCTGTCCGGAGGTCATGCCTCGTGTCTTTTGCTGCTGCTGTTGCAACCTTCCTGCCAATTCCAATTCCCCCATTCCTCAGGTCCCCGGTACATGCATTTCTATAGGACACTTCACCTGTGTCCCAGGTGAGCTCCATGCAGGCATCCTGCTCCTTTCTCTAACCCCAAGGCGCCTGCCTCAGGCGCTGACAGCACAGGCCCTGGGCGCCCAGCAGTGTGGAACATGTGCTCATCCTTAAGGATGCAGACAGGAATGATGTGACATCCCTGCGCCTGGTGACCTTTCCCCTCCTGCTACAGCCCCCAACAGGCAGGAACAGGAATGCCTAGTCCCTGATTGCTCACATACGTGAGCTCACTCCATCCTCACAACACCCCCATGAGCTCAGTGTTATTCATTTCACAGTCAGAAAAACCGGGGACCAGTGAGATTCAGTTACTTCAGTTCCTGCCCAGATGTGTGGCCCCAAAGTCCTCGTGGGTAACGTATCCCCACACCTGGACTAGAACTGCCCTGAGGGTAGAGATAACGCCTGTTTCATCTGGGTGCACTTCACATTGGCAAGAGAAATGCCTCGCATGTGGCAGACATTCCCTAACTAAGGAGAAGTGAGTGGCGCCAGTGTCTTCCTATAGCTGCTGAGCATTTATTTCTTGGAGGCTGACTTGATTCCTAGCAGCGGAAGCTTCTTGGGGCACTTCTCTCCCACCTTTGCCTCTCTGACCATCTGCCCCAGAGCCTGGCAGGCACACTGTGCACAGAGAGCGAGATTTGTATCCAGAGCCTCAGGCTGTTTATTTTCCTGTTTTTATCCAGGAGACAGTAGGCAACTGATGGTCAAACCAGCTTAAGAGGAAATCCCCGATGCCTGTCCTTTTTGCCCGTCTCAGACCACACTCCTGAGGCTTTTACAGCACATGACTACTCACCACCACACTCCCTCCCCTGCCCAGAAGGGTGGTGAGAAAAATGTGGGGTGCGGGAGCGAGAAGCTAAAGTCTCCAAAGCACATCACCAAAATTCACCTCTTTTGTTCAAATTCACTTTTTGAAACACCTGGGGAGGGGCAAGCATCTGACTTAGGTGTCAGCCCCCACACTAACGTGGGCTTTGCGCTCCCCACAGAACCCCCCTCGGAAATAATCGCAGGGCTGGCGGGGTTCCCCGACACTTGCTGAGAGGTTCCGACTCCCCGCCCTCCTCCCTGCTCCTGGCAGCCTCGGCCTTGCGCCACGAGGAGACCTGGAAGAAACTGGAACTGTGAAGTCAACACAAGGGCCTCGACACCAAACAGTGCATCTGCTCGCGTTGTGTAAGGGCTGGGGAAAGAGCCACATGGTTCCAGTTCAACTAGATTCACTCAGGGAGCCACCAGCTTCCAAGCTGGTCTTCCACCTCCACCTCACAGATCATGTTCTCTCTGCACTCCCAGGACTTCCCGGGCTCCCATTGAGAGACAAGGGCTTCTCTGGGCTGTGGGGCCATGAAGGAACCAGCGGCGCCCTCCTCCATTCTGGGCACGTTAATATTCTTTGCAGGAAAAGGATAAGCTGGAAAACTTGATTTTCTAGAATAGAAAGAGCACAGGGCTTAGCAAGTGGGCAAATCTGGGCTCTACCCCAGTTCTGCCGTTTTTATCAGTTGTCTGACCTTGGAAAGGTCATAACCCCTGAGCCTCAGTTTTCCCCTCTGTAAAATGGAGCAAATAAAATGTTCTCTCTCAAGACTGTCAGCAGGGTGACCTGTCAGCCACTCATTCATCTATGCAGCAGACCCACCCCAGACACTGTTCCACACGGGGAGACAGCAACGGAGGGGACAGGTCAGACTCCTGTCACCTGGGTGTTTCAGGAAGGAGAACATGTGTCAAAGAACAGTAATACACAAGCCTAATTGAGGTGGTATTTTCATTCCATCTTCAAGAAGAGGGGAGTGAAGAGAATTTAAATTGCTCGTCCAAACGTACTCTGTGTAGACAGGATTCGTGTGGATCTGTCTGTCCCCAAAGCCCCTGTCTCTCCCTCTGCTTTCCAGTGAGCTGGAAAGAGTTATGGGAACACATTGTCCAAAAATGATAAACATGACCCCAACTGGCCCTCCCAAATAATTGACTCCCCGACACAGCCCTGTCATTTCTGAAACACAAAACAAAAATTAAAACAAGAAAAACAAAACAAAAGGAAAGCCTCTGGCTTCATTTAAAAAAAATGGGGGAACAATTTAATACCTGTGATGGGCGGTCAATAAAAATAATTTAAAAAGGAAAAAGGAAGACACTTCCCAGAAGGGAGGAGTGTGGCGGATGGGAGGGGTGGGGGAAGGGGTACAGGTAATGTATGGATGAAATGCTCACATCTGGGAAAAGTTGGGGAACTCCCCCTGGCCCCAGATGCAGACAGAATCAGATATTTATGAATTTTCTTATCTATATTTTCACTCATTTATTTATAGACTCAAGTTCCATGTAGAGGTGAAACCTTAGGTGATCTGACAGCCAAGCCCCCAGCCGCTGCCCCCACCACCACTTGAAAGGGCCCCAATCATGCATAACAGGGGGCACTTGGGTCACGCTGCAACTGGGACAGAAGTTAAAGGGTGGTGAGGGCTCCTCTCCTGGCTCTGTGCCCTGGACTCCTGGCTTACCCCTGTGGCCTGCCACTTAGCTGCAATCATGCCATTGGGAGGTGGAGATAATAACAGCAGGTTGTTTATAAAGCATTGTGGGTTGTTCATATGGGGACGGCAAAACAAAAACAAAGCAAAACAACACAACACAACAGCATGCGTGACCCTGGAGGGAGTGAAGGGAAAGGCTCTGGCACCACGGCTGCAGGGCACGTGGGCAGCGAGACAGAGACGGACGCAGCTCCCCCGGCAGGAGGCTGCGGGCCGGATCCTGGAATTCTGGAAGCCAGGGATGTGGTGGGACAGAGCAGAGGTTCTGTGGACAGGTGAGGGCAAGGAGAGCTGGGTGTGCCCAGCGGAGAGCACATGCCCAGCCGAGGCAGCCGTGCACTCCAGTCCCAGGCTGCCTGTGGGACCGAGGCCTGGGCCTAGTCTGGCCGGAGGGACAGCAGTGTTGAAACCTCTGATGAGGAGGAAAGATCTCAGTCCTGGATCCGGAAAACTGGATTCAAATGCCAGTTCTGCCCCTACTGTCTGGGTGACGTTGAGTCGCTCACTTCTCTTGCCTGGACCATAGCTGTCCCATTCTCAGATGAGAGAGCAAAACAGAGGAGCTCTTAGAGCCCCCAGCTGTCAGGGGTCACGGTTTTATGAGGGAAAAACAACCGAGGTTATGTCACTGCGGAGCCCTTGGAAGGGGAGAGAGTAGACTTGATCCCAGGGACTGACAAGGACTTGGGAGAGCAGGACCTGATGGACACTGAGGGGTGAAGCTGGACAGCGTTCTGGAGAAGTCCGGGAGTCCCCGGCACAGGGCGGATGCACACACGGCGGGCCCTGCACTTCGTGTGCAGGGGTGTCCCCTGGACCAGCGACCCCAGCAGGTGTTCTGAGAGGTGCCGAGAAGTTGCTGAGCCTGTGGACAGCAACCTGAGGCCTGTGGTCTCCGCATGGGCAGCTTCATTCTGGGCTCCAAATTTTACATATGAATCCCTACACATTCACCTGGGAGGACATTCCACGCATGGGCTCCTATCAGCGCACAGCCCCCAGGAACTCTGGGTTCCAGCCTGTGGACACCCACCACCTGCTCCGACCGCCAATCCACCCTGGATGGAAGGAGCGCATATGAGCACAGGAAGAAGCTGACCTTAAAAGTTAGTTCTCTCCAGCTGCCTCTCCCCGACGGGCTGGCATGGAGACTGTGGGAAGAGTTTGCAGTAGAGGAGGAAAATGAGAAAAAAAGGGGGATGTGCCGGGGGCAGAAGGGAAGGAAAGAAGGAAAATGGAAGGAAGGAAGAGAGGGATGGAGGGAGAGAAGGAAGGAGGAATGGAGGAGGGAAAGAAGGGAGGGAAGAAAGTTATTTGTCTACATACATGACCCACTGAATTTTATAATAAACTGCTCAATCTCTGCTTAGAGCCATAGGATAGATAGAGGCAGTGTGTGTGTGTGTGTGTGTGTGTGTGAGTGTGAGAGAGAGAGAGAGAGAGAGAGAGAGAGAGAGAGAGAGAGAGAGAGAGAGAGAGAGAGAGAGAGAGAGAGAGAGAGAGAGAGAGAGAGAGAGAGAGAGAGAGAGAGAGAGAGAGAGAGAGAGAGAGACTAGAGCCTGAATTCATGATTGTTGCTTTTCTCATTGAAAAGGCCTCTTAACTCCCTCACCACGATCACTATGCAACCCCCCATCTTTCCCCCTTCCCCTAACTCTGTGTAGAGCTGGAGTTTGGCCAGAATTCCACAACTGGACCTCTACTTTGAAACCCGATCCTGTTTTCTTGGACCCCTGCGTTTATTCCTAGGACTGCACTGGGACTGGGGAAGACCCCCGAGTCTCAGTCAGAACACAGCACCTGAATCGATGTGGAGTATGATGCTGCTCCCGAGGCAGCCCACTAGGTATCATGCTGCTCTCAGGGGAAGAGAAAGCAAATGAGGAGGGAAAAGAGGGGGAGAGAGGAGAGAGGGGAGGGAGACAGAGAGGAGGGGGAGCAAGGAGAGAAAGCAAGAAAAAGCAGATGGGGAGGAGGAGGGGGAGGGGTGGTAGAGCTGGGTGTAGGGAGGGGCGGGGAGAAACAGCGCCTTTCTCTACCTGGGGAGAGCCTGGAGTAAAGTGGGATGTATCACAAGCTGAAATCTATAAAAACTGATGCTATTTACCTTGGTGCTTTGAGAATGCAGGAAACCACCCCATGGCTTTTTCCAGTTGTTGCTTATTTTTCTTTTCTTTCCTCCTCGTTTGTTTGTTTGAACGCATTTGCACATTTGCACAGTCCTGCCTGTCCTCCCACACCCCAGCCAGGCATTCAGGAGGGCCCTGCATCCCCCAGGCCTCAGTCCTGGGCGCTCTGCCTGCCCCAACCCGGTCCCAGCCCAGGCCAAGCCGGCAGAGGCCTCAGAGCTGTGTCCTCAGCACCTGACTGGTTCACTGTCCAAATGCTCGCAGGTGAGCAGCTGTGAAAAGTCCTCTTCTCTCCCACAGATGTTCCTGGCTCCGGTGGGCAGAGCGTGGCTTTTAGGGGCAGACAAAGCAGGGTTAGGCCTCTGACCGCCTTGAAGGCTTTGACTCCCTCACTGCCTCCACACCTCCCAGGACAGAGGTGATAGTGAAATAATATAATACAATCATAAGTGTCAGTCCCTTCCTCTTCCCTCTCGCCCCTCCCAGCTCTTGGGAACCACAGATTTTTAGAATGGGAAAGAACCACAGAGAACATCCAACCCATTATCATTTTGCAGATGGGGAAACTGAGGTCCAGAAAGAAGGGGTGACTGGTTTAAGGTCACATAACCAGACAGAGACAGAATGCTTTGCCCAAGTTCGATGTCCCTCCACAAGTCAGAGGATCCAACAGGCACTTATCAGTTGACTTGTTTCCGAGGTTAAACTCTCCCGACTGTTTACTTGGGGCACAGGACCTGCCAATTAAGAACTCAAAGTCGTCAGTGCCGGCCTCAGTGCACTTGCGGGCGGTGCGGTGTCTGGGTGACGATGGAGAGCATTGTGGCCGAGGTGATGGATTTGCATTTTCCATCCACAATGTTTCTCTGAGTTCTGAGAATTAACTTATTTTTATAGTCTGGGGAGCCGGGGAGGACAAAGCCCTCTCAGGGTGAAATGTAACAATGAGTGATATTTAAGGAGCTCTTTGGCCTCCAAAGGATTGCAACAGACTTTGCACAAGAGGCGAGAGACAGTGGGTGCAGAGCACTGTGGGTGTTGCAACCACCTTGTGTCCTCTGCAGCAGCAGGGCCGTGGGAAAGGCCCCTGTCACCCTCCCACCCCTATTTCCGCTCCTCGCTCCCAGGTACACAGGGTAGGGCTGCATCGCCCTTCAGAGGGCCTCACTCTGGGGGAGCCTACTGAGACCCCAACTCTCTCTTTCTCCTTCTGAATCTCATTAAACAAACATGAGTGATGCTGTGTGACTCTGGACCAGTCCTTCCCCTCTTGGGGCCCTGGAATTCTAGATGGTACAGAAGTGCGGACACCTCTACGTGCTAGACCATCTCCGAGGCTCCTTCTGCCCTCCTTTGAGGATTCTATGCAGGATTCTGGGCTGAAAAGCACCACTGTCACAGGGAGATAAATGTCCTTTATTAATGCACTAGCTTTGCACGGTGCCTAGCAATTTGCAAGAACACCTTCACCTACAGCACACTGTTTAACCCTCACGACCACCCTATGGGGTAGATGTTATCACCCGTTTACTCCAAAACAGAAAACTGCGACTTAGAAAAGCAAAGCGACTTATACGTGGACACACAGTCAGGAAGGGTAGATTCAGATCCATAAGATGATCAGCAGAAGGTGTCCAGGAAACACCTTCCCCTCTTAGCCCTAAACCAGGTTCAAGAACAGACGCCAGGTCAAAGGCACCGAGGGGGTGATGTTATGCAGCTCAGAGACAGGCTCCTAGACCACTGGGGGGATCTCAGGAGCCCGGCTTAGAGAAGACAGAGAGTTCAACCGTCACTGAAATACGCAGCGAACTGGGATGAGACAAATAACAGTCCTCCTCTCTCCCCCTATATTTCAGAGAGTTATGCTTCCTGTCTGTGCTACTCAGGAAGCAGGATATTCCAGCACTTCAGAGCTGAAAGCCAGCGAACCCACCACCCTCTCTCTGTTCAAATGAGGATGTTGAGGCCCAGAGAGAGAGAAAGCGATGTCCCAGGGTCCCCCTGCAAGCCACTGGGACTGCACGCCAGCAAAGGAGGCCCTCTTTCCACCACCCAGCCTACAGACCTCCCCACCCCTGGACGCCAGGCCCAGAGGCAGTGCTGCCCAGAGCCCACGAGATGGAGGAGGGCGATGCACAGAGATTTTTATGGCAATACACACGGCCACCCCATTCCAGAATTCCTCCATCTCCACTTGGCTACGCAATGGCAGGGTGGGCAGACCCGGGGTGCCTTACCTCTGCTCGGCAGAGCTGTAGGTCTCCCCTCTCTGGCAGCTGCTCAGGGTGACGGGGTCAAAGCCGTCGAAGGAGCGGAGGGCCACCCCCGAGATGGCGAGCAGGGGTGAGCTGAAGCTCACTCGCACCGCCTGGCTGTGGTAGAAGGGCTGGCTGAGGTCATGGACCACAGGGATAATCAGGGGATTGTTCCTGCAGCTCAGGACGTGGAGGCCTGTCAGGGGAGACAGAGGGCCGGGGGGCCAGGCTCATTACTCAAGGCCAGTCACGCCCTCCCCAACCGGCCCTTCCCCAAGCCCCCAGACCCTTTCATGTCCCTGCACAAAAGCACCATTGGGTGGCCGGTGGGGATTTTGAGTTTGATTGAAAGTTTCTTTGTCTGCCTTTTTCTCTTGGTTCCAAATCTTTCCAACCCCCTTGCCTCCCTGCCCCCTAAGCCTTCCCTTCACCTAGCGCCCACGGCCCTCTCCTCCCCCAAAGGGCCACCCCTCTGCCCAGCCTCCCCCACCTCCCACATTGCACTGGGGCCTGCTGGTCGGAACTGCCAGTGTTCAGGCTGCCTTCCCAGAAACAATTTCACCACTACAGGCCATTGCGGTGGTACTAGGTGAGGGCCTCTGTAACCATCCTGTGGACAGGAGACTGAGAACCCTGGGCAGGAAGTGGCCTTCCAGAGGGCCACAGAGCAGCCAGCGACATATAGTCCAAGTAGCATGCAAGCTTGCCTCACTCCAGAGCCCTCAAAAGAACCGGGAGCAGGTCCCCAGGTTCAGGAGGGCAGGCAGAGGGGCAGGCAGAGGTGTGCATACAGAAGAGGGGAGTGATGGGCGGGATGCAGTGGGTGAAACGAAGTGGCTTTGGCGTTGGTGGAACTTGGTTCAAGTCTTGCTTTAGCCACTTCCTTATTATGTGACTCCAATAACCCCAACACTCAGTTTCAGTATCTAGGAAATGGAATGATCCCAACCACGCCGGGCAGGCCTGCTAGGTGGGGGCATGAAGCCTCTCTCCCTTTGGTGGTCCATTCTCTTAGAGCTGGGAAGCATCTGAAGGGGAAGTCAGGGTGCTGAGGATGGAGGACGGGCTGGTGGGAGGGACAGTGGCACGTGGAAGTCCCCGGCATCAGGTAGCAGGACGTAAGAGCTCCCTGGGAACCAGACCTGCTCCGCTCCGCTGAAACCCTCCGCTCGGAGCCCGGCCGTGGTGCGCGCTGCCAGGACAGCTATGAAAATATTTACTTCCCACTTAGGGAAATTTACCAGGAATCCAGATAAGTCCAGAGGGGTTTTCTTTCTATTCCTTATTAGGATGTTCCCCCTTGCCTTTGAAACTAACTAAATAAGTAAACATCAACACAAAACCGAAAAGCCCTCGCTGCTCCCTGGGCTCGGAGCCCGGCCGTGGTGCGCGCTGCCAGGACAGCTATGAAAATATTTACTTCCCACTTAGGGAAATTTACCAGGAATCCAGATAAGTCCAGAGGGGTTTTCTTTCTATTCCTTATTAGGATGTTCCCCCTTGCCTTTGAAACTAACTAAATAAGTAAACATCAACACAAAACCGAAAAGCTCTCGCTGCTCCCTGGGCTGCTTGCTGCTTGACCCCGGAATGACCTGTCGCCGGTTTGCAATCTCGGGGTCTTTGAAATGAGCTCCCTCTGGAGTGTGTGGGCATGGCTCTGATGCCTGGACTGTGGTGCTGGCCCGGGATTCCACCCACCCGGGATGGCTGTGTCGGAAACGTGGGAGCGGGTAACAGCACTTCCTGGGGGCAGGTGTCGTGCTAGGCACGGCCCTACAGTCTCAAGCCTCGCTTATTTCCCACATCGCTCTGACTGTGCAATGGCATCATTGCCCCAGAGCTCTTAACGACGCACGGAGAGGTGGAGAAAACGGCTCCCATTTTCCAGGCGCGTGAGTGCGGGGAAGGATTCTATGATGGATTCCATCAGCTCTATGCCCATGGCTCCTGTGGGTATGCTGAGGCAGGTGGCACAAGTGCCAACTGCAGCCCGTGTTCTGGGGCAGCTGACTCCTCCCCTGCCTTCCTAGACTTGCATCGGACGTTCCTGATCTTACTCCCATGGGAAAGTCTGGAGCTCACACTGGACACACAGCTGGCTCTTTGGGGTCATTCCCAGCACCTCTGACTACAGGGTAAAGAGCCGCTGCCCTGCGGCCTGGGCTCCCTGGGCCTCAGGTGCTGACGCGGACAGTGGGAAAGGGCCTTACGCAGGTTCCTTCCCTGGGCCTTTGGAGGACCATCGGGGATGCCGAGTTACAGGTGGCTGGCAGAAGGCAGCCACTGAAGGGAGGACTTCCACACTGATCCCTCACCCCTGAACCTGTCAGTCAGGCTTCTCTAGACCCACAAGCACATCCTGACTTGACGGCAATGAGAATGCCAGCGAGAGAACGAGGAAGAGGAGAGGGGAAGGAAGAGGCCTTCTCAGCCAACCCTCAGGACCACGCTGGGCAAAGGTGGAACCAGGCACCCAGAGCCAGCCAGGCCCGAGGGGACATGCTCACCTAGATCATGGCTCTGCTCTTTGGTGTCAAGCAGCTGGACGCTGATGGTTTCCTGCTTTTGGTCCCCATAGTAGGTCCCATCGGTCACCAGGTGGACAATAACAGCTGCAGCAACCATTGGCTGAGAAAAGTATGCCTGAAACACACATGACATCAGAGAGTCATGCATGCCCCTCCCCCTGGTGGGGAAGCAGCCGCAGGATGGGGTGGGGGGGTCTCAGGGAGAATCTTCTTGTTTCAGGAACTGGATTACTCCTTGTGGCTCTGTAACGGGAACAGAGGGACAGTGGAGCCTCCCAGTGAACAGCACAGGCTCTGAGATCAGAAACTCTGCTCCGATCTCGGCTCTGCTCCCTCCGAGATGCGCCTGTCCATCAGTGCTGGCTGTGCCGCTCTAGGCCTGCGGTCCCTCACCTCAAGTGGTGGATAAAGTGAAGACCCGTATCACAGGGTGGCTGTTAGGCTCAATAAGGTGATGGGAGAAAAGTGTTTGGCACATACTAAAACCACAAAAAATGGTATTATTACTGTTTGTCATTCCTCCATGCTAACCTCTGTACTAGGCACTGAGGAGACAAAGCTAAATAAGACATGGACTTCTGCACTTCTGCAGACTATGCACTTCTGCAGACTATGAGGTTCAATATAGGTCAATGACATGCAAATCAAAATTCAGTGCAATCCACAGTCCTTAGGGGGATGGCACCATGTGACAAGTGCCATCAACAGCTGACCAACCAACCATGTAGAGGACTAGAGGAGAGAGAACAGCCACTTTTCTCTTGGGGGGATCAGTACAGACTTCAGGGAAGAGAAGACAATTTTTAATCTTGAACAATGAATAGGAGGTTTCAGGCAGACAAAAGTATCCAAATTCTGCCAAGACAAGAATGACTGGGGAATATTTCACAAGCAATTAAGGGATTCCATTTCCAGGAGCATCTCACTGATCAGTGTTTTGTCCCCTGTCCTTACAATGAGCATCCTCAATGGATAGACAAACCATCCTAAGAAAGGGCTGTGGGAGGCAGAGCTTCCTGGGGCCGCTGGAGCATCCAGGGCTCTTCAAGCACTGGCTTACCCGGAGCCAGAACGTGGTCTGGGTCAGCTGGGAGTAGGGGTAGCTGATGGTGCAAGGATACCAGGCGTGTTGGGAAATGCCTTCACTGAGATCAATCACCTTGGTCCGACACACCTGGGAAAAGAGAAAGAAACACAAGTGTTGTAGAGAGTGGCAGAGATTGACTTAAATTCAAATCGATAAACCTTTGCTATCTACATATTTTGTCCTTGGCATTTGCAGGAAGAATCAGGGATGAAGAGACAAGCAAGAGTCTACCCCGAGAGCCCATATTCTCACACAGAGGAGGAAACCCTGAATGCCATTGATGGTAGGGTTGACAGTAATTCTTATGGGAGCACAAATCCTAGAGAAGTTGATATTTGATTTGGGTATGAACAGGACAGAGATAAGGGGAAGGGCATGGCAGGTAGAGGGAACAGACGCAGAGGCTCAGGCTCAGAGGACAGCAGACATCCAGAAGGGTTAAGCTGTGGTAAGCTGCCTGGTATCTGCGCTGGGGGAAAGTGGCAGAAAAGACAGGCTGCAGGGTTGGATCTCGTAGACTCTTGAACACCAAGCAGAGCACACTTCAGAATAAATCTCTAAACTGTGCTCAGGACTACGTACAACAGAGCAAGACTGCGATAGTATGAACATTTGCTTTCCCCAAAGAAAATCAGCTCCACCACTTCATATGCATATATGTAAACATATATCCACACATACACACGCATTCATTCTCAATGACAGATATACCAAATTAGTGTTAAAAGAAACACAAAGGTGTAGACCAGCAGAATTCTTCAAACTTAGGGGCTTTGTGTGTATCCAAATGTCACTTCATTCATTGGTTCATTCATACATTCAGATAATATTTATTGAGTCACTGCTCTTTACCAAGCACTGTGAGACAACAAGTGGACAAGACTGAAGGTGAGGAGCTCAAGATGTGCAGATATTCATCAAGTAATTGCATAGACACATATAACTGTAAACTGCAGAGCAGGGGAGGGCTATGATGGAGAAGGACAGAAAGAGCTGAGCTGTTCTTGTGATTGGTCAGAACGTGAGCAGGTCATCCCAAATTAGTGCTTTTCCTCTGAGCTTGAAAGTGGCTACTCTCTCCAAACCTCCCTAGGAATTTAGGTTTGTCATTCCACATCTGCAGATATCAGTCTACTCATCTAAGAAGTAAGGCTGACCTGGAGAGGATCAAGATATTCAAGGATGAAGGATATCCATTCCATCAATATCTACAGTAGCAACAAATTGGAAATAGTTTGTTCATCTGTTAGGGAAGGGATGCATAAAATGACATATTTATGTGATAGGATTCTATGAGCAAAAGTATATTAAGAGGACTGAATTATATTCATATACAGGGATGATGCTAACAATATTTCACACCTGCTTAGTATGGGTCCTGGCCAAGGAAAATGGAAGCCCTACTTGTGAGTTCACAGACATCAACTTGGAAAGATCGCAAAAACATAACACTGAGTAGATTAAAAAGAACAAGACCTAAGTGGTCAGTACATTTGGATACCATTTATAAAAATCACACAAAACAAGATTATACCCAGGGATTCATATAGATGAGAACAGAAGAATTAAAAAATGGAGTGGAGAAGTTCTACACCAAATTCACTAATCAAAGGCAAGATAAAAATACTTGGCTGCACTGTAATTTATAATTGCAAACATTAATGCTTTTTTTAAAAAAAATAAACTTTTTTTGCCCTGGCTGGTTTGGCTCAGTGGATAGAGCGTCAGCCTGCAGACTGAAGGATCCCTGGTTCGATTCCAGTCAAGGGCACATGCCCAGGTTGCAGGCTTGATTCCCAGTAGGAGGCGTGCAGGAAGCAGCCTACCAGTGATTCTCTCTCATCATTGATGTTTCTCTCTCTTCCTCTTCCTTCCTCTCTGAAACTAATTTTAAAAAAAAAGGTTATATCTTTAAAAATATATAACCTTTTTGTTTTGGAGTAAGAAAAGTTGCAAAGATAATACCGGGAGTTCCCTAGACCCTTCATCTAATTTCTCTTGACGTTAACATCTTCATCAATTCATCCTTCAGACCTCAGAGAAAGGAAGAAAGTTGCTTAACCAACTTTGGAGAATCACATTGTCACTCAAGAGCTTTGCAATGGTGAGCTGGCTATTGGATTAGGGAGACTTGGTTCTGGTCCAGGTTCCCCAACATTTGATGTATATTTGTGGACAAGGACTAGTTATCTCACCCCTTTGAACCTGGGGTTTATCTTTCACAGTTGAATATTGGACGGCGTCATAGGTCTTCAAGGTATCACCTATGAATTCCTAGGGTTCCCTGGAGGTGTCAGCCTGGGGTTCAGGATTGGGGGGGGGGACTACTTAGTTTCTGCTCCACCGTTTCAACCAGGCCATCATCTGAGCATCATCTGTTTTAGATATCAAGCCGCCCTGAAAGTTTCATTTACAAAAAGAGCTTTAATGCTTCAAAAACATTGAAAATTATTGAAACATGTTCATCGCCAAAGTTTCCCTCACGGCTCCCGAGGCATCAGTGGGTCTTGGAAATGCAGTATTGGTTTCCTGACTGTCACAGGTAACTTCTATGGAGAGTCAAGTCCCAGGGATTAAGTGATGGCTTCTAGGAGCTTCAGGCATTCAGATCTCTAGGAGCCTAACACCGAAGGGACCACCGTTAAAAAACACAGTCACATTCATGGGATGGAAGACATTTTCAAGTTTATTTATTTTTCTCAAAAAACAACTGGGACCAAACTTAGGCAGGCCTGCCAGTGGATTGTGTTACATTTTACAACAGTGTGAGACTTTGCATAAACTATCTATGGCATTCGGAGTCCAGGCCAGCAATTCGACATGTATCATTTTGGAATTCTTTCCCCTTGTGGTCTTAGCTGCCTGTCCCCCAGCAGAGCGTGGTGGGGCACATCTCCGGAGGGCTGGTGTGTGTGTGTGTGTGTGTGTGTGTGTGTGTGTGTGTGTGTGTGTGTGTTGGGAGGTGTCGGGGGCTTATCTCTGCATCTAAAGCATTCCCAGTCAGAGAAGTCTTGCTTCAATACAATTTCCTCTTATCTAGGCAGCCCTATCAGCGCTAGACAGGGCTTTAGAAGAAGGTGCTGCTGTTATTTTCTTCTGTTTTCCTATTCAGGGTTGGGTTTGTTTCAGGCTGGCTGGGATCCTGACCAGGGTCAGTCAAGGCAGATCAGAGAGGAATGAATAAATCCTCAAAGCCCCAGTTGATCTTAAAGCCATCTAGGTTCCTGGGAGGTGGGGGAGGCTGCCTGCCGCAGGGGAGCAGACACTCGCAGCTCCTGCTTTGACGGACCTGGCGTGCCTCTGCTCACTCAGCTGCCCTTTATGGAGGTGCGTGGCACACTGGACGCCGAAGCCCGAAGAGGAAGAGAGCCTTGCCCGTGCCCATGGCCACACTTGTATCCTAGGTGGTCACTAAGGATACAGGTGTGATCGCAAGGTAACGAATTCTATGGGGATGCTCCGTTTTCCTCCACCCCCTTTTTTGCACCTTCCCCTCCAAAAGCAAATCCAATGCCATAAAGCATGACTGAGCCATGTAGATTTTACTGAACATTCTGCGAGGGAACAAGCAGGAGAGGCACATTATACACTCCTGTGAACCCAAGCTCTCCCTCCAACACCTCCTGTTCCTCTTCACCCATCATCTCCCTTTGTCCAGTTTCTTCAGCGTCACTGGTTCCAGTGACCTTCCTAATCTCTCCCAACCTTCTCCCCCTTCCAAAGTGCATCTGTGTGGAAACTGGTGCAGAACCGTTCGCTTTCCCTTAGGTTCTCTACTCTCACACGTGCAAATCTTTCTGAGGACGCCAAGGGTTCCACCCCGCCCCCCAGGCCCAGAGATGTCAGGGGGTTGAACATAGTAACTTTTTTAACCTCTGTGTCCTGCCGGTATGAACAAGATCTGATCCCTCCCTTCACATCGCTCACTATCTTAGGGCACACAGAAATATCTGCAGCCTCCAGGCTTCAGGTTCCCCTAAAACAGGGGTGGGGAACGTCTGGCCCAGGCGCTGTATAAGGCCGGCAAAATCACTTGGCCTGGCCCTGCCAAGGTACTAGAGGTGAGATAATTAAATCTTTGATCAAATATAGCAGCTAATTTTTAAGTTGATAATTTTGTATGGCCCACAAATGATGGTATAAATATTCAAATGGCCCTTGGCAGAAAAAAGGTTCCCCACCCCTGCCCTAGAGAGATAAAGAGGGGGGTCTCCTATCACTGAAACCCACATGTGTGCACTGCCCACATTCATGGTTATTGTAGTAGCATCCACAACAGTCAAGATGTGGAAACAGCCTACCTGTGCATCAACAGATAAGTTGATAAGCAAAATGTGGTATACACATTCAATGGAATAGGATTCAGCCTCAAAACAGAAGGAAATCCTGCCATTTGAGGCAATATGAATTAACCTTGAGGACATTATGCTACATGAAATAAGGCAATCACCAAAGGGCAAATGCTACATGATTTCCCTTCTACGAGGTATCTAAAACAGTCAAAGTCATAGAATCAAAGAGTGGAATGGTGGTGGATAGTGGCTGGGGGAGGGGAAAGGGAGTGGCTGATCCTGGGCATGAAGTTTCAGTTAAGCAAGATGTTCAGTTTCGTTCTAGAGGTCGGCTGTGCAACGCTGTGTCTACAGTCAGCAACACTGTACGGCACATGTCAAGTTGGATTACAGTTGTTTAGAGCCCAGTCTTATCCCTTTAAACTCTGAAGACTTCTAAGGTGAGAACCGGGCTTGAGTTACCTTCCAAGAAATCTTAGCAGATTGCCCACCACACGGGATGCCACAGTTGCCCAGGGAACAAGAGTAACAACATAGTGACAATAGCAGAGCCGCAGCAGCCTAACTGCATGCCTGTTCTATGCCGGGCACTGTTGTAAGGACTCTATATGCACTCAAGCATGCAGTCCTCAGCACAACACTGTGAGGTAGGGCACTATTGTGATACCCGTTTTATGGACAAGGACACTGAGGCCTGGCAATATGCCTAAGGTCACACAATTGATGGGTAGAACCAGGACTCAAATCCAGGTGTCAGCTCAGCCCACACTCTTCACTGAAGAGGCCAGCTTGCAA